ATGAATCAACCTTCTCAACATAATATTAATGAGACTTGATGGAAATTTTATGGGAAAAGGAGTTATTTGGTATTTTCGGAATAAAAAACTTTATTATTGATTATTTTGAGCTTCATCTTTGATTCATTTTGTAAGCAGAAGCAGAATTTCGATTTTGTTATGTTAGTAATTTTGTTTAGAACTGAAGTTGCTCATGAAGTTTTGTTTAGTTGAGGTGGTAAATTTTTTTAGTAATTTTCAACCATGGTAACATTGATTCCTAGATTTAGCAAGCGCCCTAATGCTGACCATGCTCACATTGGTCAAGTTTTTTAGGGCAGCAAGAATTGAAGCAATACATGTAGCTAGCTGTACATTTTCACAGCAATGGCTTTGAGACACCATACAAAGCAACAAAATTAAATGATTATGATGTCTGGACAATGTAGCAGTGATATATAGGTGATTTACCTACCATCTATATAGGATTCTCTGTAAAATAAAGTTCTAGATTGTCTAGCTTTGCATGGCTTGATATTGTAAGTTTTTTTTTTTTTTTTTTGGTATTGTGTATTTAGCTGTTGACCATTTCATTCAAATCATTTTATGTCCCTGCTTAAACTCTGCTTTTTAAACTCTGTGCATGGTTTTTGTTGCATTAATAACTAATATACTGCTTACCTTTGCCTCTATGTTTCTCTGAGGGATACAGAGCTTTCAATGGCGGGAGGATCAGATGATTACGCGCAGTATGAACTCAATGACTGGGTGCAGAGAAGATCAATTTAACATCCAGAGTGGTTCGAGTCCAAGTCAATAACAAAGCAAGGAGAACAGTCAACTGTGCAACAAATGACTTGAAGGGCAAAGCATGAGGACAAGACGACTGGTAGCTATGAACGCTTTACTGCGACGGAGTCAATGCCAAGCGCGCACCAGGTTGTGGAGAGATCTGAGCGAGTTGGTTTCAAGGATGTGCAGCAGAAGTGTGCGACCCTGAAGATTGGTGACAAGAGTGGCTATACCGTGTACTACAGCGAGCAAAAAGTTCAGAGGGTCAACTATGACAAGAACAGCTACAACAGTGGCAACACTAGCCGATCAAAAAACAAGTATTAGTTCCTGGTTCCTGCATTGTTCTCTGTTTTCACAGTGACAGCGGTATTTGGATTTGCTGACTCTTCTATCTTCACTATGATGTTTGGATTTGCTGTCTTTTTTCTAGGAACTTGAGTTTGGTTCGTTATTTTTGTTACCACTGTTTGCTTTGTAAAATACTTAATGGTCTGGATGACTATATATATATATAAGCTTCAAATGCTAATCACAAGTTCTTCATTGTGGTACATTCTGCCTTCTTACGTGATTTATAGAATATGGTATTTGATGTGGTTGCTGTTCATTACTGTGATTCCGTTTACATTTGGAGTTTGGGTCCTTAACTGGTACAAACTTTTGTTTGATGGACATATACTAATTGGTATATAGAAAGGATATCGTTGGGGCTTTTAATACATATGCTGTTGCAACGCTGATGAAACTAGGGACTTGGTTCAACTTCTTGTTATATTATCATTCTTCTTGTTATTTTAGAATCTCTCTGCATGAGATAATGGGATCGTCAAAATGGTAAGGCCATTTTACAATATGGAAGGTCTGGGTTTTGAGTTTCGTCCCTCTTCCTGAAGATTTTATCACTACTAAACAAAAGTACTTTTTGCGACCGTTACAAGCCGTTGCAAATAATAAAAAACAAGTCGCAAAAGACTTTTTGCGACGGCTTATGCGACGGCAAATGAGGGTCGCGAATGTGGGGGTGGCAAATACTTTTTGCGACCGCAAAATAACAGTCGCAAACTATTTGCGACTGCCTAACCTACTTTTTGCAACTGCCATTTTGCCGTCGCAAAAAAAAAAAAACACTTTTAGCGACTATTTTTTTATTTTTACTGTCACAAATAATTATTTTTATAATAAAATCATATACGTTTGCTACAATAAAAAAATCAATTGCAAGCACCTAACAATTTTTTTTAATAAAAAATAACAAAATTAACAAATTAATTTAAATTCATAATAGAAATACTAACCTATTCACATATAAATGTGCAAACAAAATATAAACTTTCATACATGCAAAAACAAATATCCATCAACCATCCTTAAAATATATTGTACTAAAAGATTCAAGTCCTCAAAAAAAAAATAATAATAATAAATAAAATAAAATAAAATAAAAATAAAAAAAGAGCAACATAATCTCAGTTTGGCTCCCAAACATCACCCGCTCGATTATATCAACTACTCCCTCAACAAAACCTGCAAAAACATATACACGTGACTTGAAAATTTAATGCAGTTTAACTTGAAATAATAAAAATAAAACTATTTCAAAAGAAATTGTCAAGAGAAAAATAAAAAGATTCATTCTCTAAATTCTTTTGCTTGGAGTAAATTACAAAAATATAGATGTCAATTCATAATTTGCACAAATAAATAGACAAGAAAATGGTCACCCAATCCAATCAGGTTAATGAATAAACCAAAGAATTTGAAAAATGAACATAATTAACATAATCTTTGTCCTAGCATATATTAATACCAAAAGGAAACAAGAAGAAGAAATTTGACTTCACTATTTAGAAGTTCACATCAAGTTTCTGGCTTCACTATGTAATTCAAGAATTTGCAATGAAGAATTTTGGAAACCGTTTATCAAAAACAAAGAGGTGCTGTGAAAGAGTAATCCCACAAGATTTATTTGAGAGTGCCCATGACAACATGATGCAAACATCTCTTTGTTTCATTGTATATTAGATTTGAATATTGTGTATGGGCGCGCGCGCGTGTGAGAGAGAGGAAAAGTAATTCAAGAGTGAGAATTAATGGAAAAGTAAGCACCAAAAAAAAGATAATAAAATTGGCAGAATGAGTTACCTCGCAAGACTTCTGTCTGGTTTGCATTTCCATAAAGAGGTAGGTACACAGCTCAAATAATGACACCAAGAACAGTATTGATTCCCATCAACCCCTTGGAGGAGTAAAACCATGCCAATAGTAAAGCTGTCAAAATTCGTGTCATTGATTGCCAGCCAAACTACACCATGTAATTAAAGGGATTTACCGACGCATACTATAATGAAAATTCACAAAACCTAAAAAGCCTTTTCTCAAGATTTTCCAAAATTGTTCATCCAGTTTGCTATAACTAGAAATACATGCTGCATTTTGTTCCATATCCAATGGATGTTCATAGAAATCTCAAGCTATCATTATATGCATGTTGGGAAACATGAATTCACCAATAGTCCATGAATGTTACCATCAAATTATCATTGTATTTATGCTGTCATGCATCAATTATCACCACTAACATGCTTCTTTCCAACTCACTTCATCTGATGCGAATAGTGACAATTTCAACCATGTGTGTTAGAGAGAATTCAAAGCCATCATCCACTGGTATTTTTCAAAGGCTTGTAACTTTGAAGTAACTATTCAACAACAATTCAACTATCAATAGCAAAGCCTGTTCATCATAAATTTCTACCATTTAATTAAACTAAGCTTTCAAGATCCAAATACATATGGAACAACCCATCAATTTGACTAAATTCATAAATACTTGGTGGATGGTTTTTTTTTTTTTAATTTTATTTGTTCTTCTGGGAAAAAGAATTGATTAACAGCAAAGGGCTTCTGGTATTTGCATTAAACTAAGGGAAGATTAACAACAAGCTCTAAGGACCCCACTCCATATATAAACAAACATTCATTTTCAGTTAATAGAATTGATTTAAAATGCTAATTCATTCATTGGTACAAATAACAATGTTAATCAAGCCCTTAACAAAACACCCTAGCGAGCAATCGACTTTGAACCCAAACGACACCTGAAATCTCTCTCTCTCTCTCTCCCCCCATTTTTTATGTTATGGGATGCTGAGTAATCCATTTTTGTTGGGGCTCCAATAATACACTTCTCATTGTTAGAGGTGAAAGTTTTGTTCAGAGTAATAACGCTTCATATCCTTCATGTTGAGAATATGAAATTTTGTTAGAGTTTTGCTGCGAAGCAACATTGACCTATATATTGATCATGCAAGAAAATAAACAGAAACAAAAAAAAAAAATCCATAATTTCATTGTGTAGAACTCTCTCTCTAGTAAAGGTGTATGAACCCAACTTAACTGATTTGTCCCAATCCCCACTGGCTCTTTCTATATTTGTTAAGGTGCTCTAGGTTAAGTAATAAGTAGTAAACTTTCTAGTTAAAACCTAAACTAACAGATTACTTAGCTAACGGAGGAAATAAAGTCCATGAGTGATGAAAAGGCTAAGCTAGCAACAGCTGCTGAAAAGGTGCAAGTGTTTTGTGTTTAGTTTAAGTACTGTTTTAAGTGTTGCTATTTTGAGTGTTATCTAACAAGTATTATGAACTTAGGCTGTGTGTTGTGCTCAGGGTGGAAGGTTGTTCACTCTAAATGCACAGGCACCAGAGTCAATATGGCCAGAGGTGAAATCAGACATATATAGAATTGCTGATTCCTTCAATCTAACATCTTGAAAGAGAGAGAGAGAGAGAGAGAGAGAGAGAGAGAGAGAGATGTTTTTCCTTTCCATGGAACAATGTTTTTGCCCTAATTTGTTATGTTCATCATACATAGAATCACCTCACTTCCTAAAAGCAATTGTCACTTACTAATATTGGTTGATTTTGGCCTTTAAAGCAGGTTTGATATCATATTGGAAATAGATTCAGATAACAGACAATCAATCAGTTAAGAAACACAGATGGGTCATCAAAATCACCATTATCCTCTGTTCTTGCTTCTTTTTTTCTTTTTTTCACAGAACTCTCATTCTCATTTATGGAATTGGTTCTCTTCCTCCAAAGAGACTCTTACCGAGAACCCTTCAGAGAATAGAGCAATTTTCAATGACGTAGTGGGCGAATTCTCTATGGAAAGTCTGAACAACTGAAAGGGGATCGAACTAGTTAAGAATGCTAGAAAAAAAGATGGTTGCACCAAATTCGTGTTGGCAAAATGCTTACCAAAATATTTTTGCTGGATGTTCGGAGATCCTAGCCGGTGAAGAGAAGCGGTCTAGACTTGCTTGGCATCTCAGCGATTGCTTCCAGAAAGACTCTGGCAGGCCTCTTTTACCTCATTGCGACGCCAAATCTAGCATGTTGAAATGCCTCACAAAATTGGACGAGGATGCACGGAAGATCTATCACGAGTTTTATCTTGAAACCAACTCCATCTGCCATCAATTACAGTAAAGCATATACGTATAATTTATGTATATCCAAGTTCATTGGTTTTAGTACAGTCACTGACTAGAATTTTGATTTCATGGTATTGAAGGACTGATGCATTCAAGCGTCAAACAGAGAGATTGGTGAATGAACTAAAAAATTCAACCCAATTTGCAGAAGACAAATTAGAGACCATAGAAGAGAAAGCAGAGGGTCTGTTGCAAAATTCACACCTTATACATGATTCTTTGGCTTCGATTAATGTTCAAACCCAACAAGTGGCGAAACTGACGCAGAATGTTGAAGTTCAAGTTAACCTCGTGTTAAGGAATACAGAAGCAATTTATAAGCAATCCAAGGGAATTGCAGCTTCTCAGTCAGAACTACAAGAAAACCAAGCAACGATGAAGGACAAGTTAGAAGAATCAATGGTAAAGCTGCATGAATCTTCCAATAAAGTTGGCGAAGAAATAAGTAACTTGAAGAATCAAGCTATTGAAATTGAGGAGGAGATCAGTAAAGTTGGAAATGCAATGTCTTCAAATACGAACACTCTCCAACAAAGAGCCAATGATATTGGTAATATGGCAGGGATTTCGTTGGAGAAGCAAAAGCAAGTTCTAGATGGGCAATCATTGGCTTTTGAGGGTCTTCAGTTGCAGGCTCTAGAAGAGAACAGGTAAAAAAAAAAAAAAAAAGAACATCAAATTCAAAAAAGTTCCATCAAGGTCCTCCCTATGAATATTTTCTTTTCTTTTCGGTGTTTGCAAGGGTACTCTGCAAGAATTTGCTGAACTTGGGAATAGACAACAAGAGGAGCTTCTTTTTTTTTTTTTTGAACGAACAAGAGGAGCTTCTTAGAAGACAAGAATTGCTTCAACAAGCCCATGATCATTTGGTTGAAAGTTCAAAAACAATATTGGCAGCTCAGGTTGGTGTTTCTATAAAGAGTAACCTAAAAACATGAAATGAATAGCCTAAAAACATGAAATGAAAATCCACATAAAACAAGCTCCTTTTAGCCCATTTCAACTAAAGCATACTCTCTATATTTCCTTCTATAGTTACACATCCGATCATCAAGAGCAATGACATGAATAAGAATGATGTGATGAGAACAGGAAGATATAATGATACATAGGTAGTTTGACCATATCCAAGCGTATCTATAGCAAATTTATTAATAACTTTTAGAGACTAGATTGTTAATAATAGTAGTTCAAAGTGCTTTAGAGCAAAACTTTGAATAAAGCATAGCATAACCATCAGAGTTGTCAATATCAAATTCATCAATATTTTGGATCTGCTCTTGTTGCTTCTCCAAAGGCTAACCTTACAATTCAAATCACAATCAATTAACATCACAAAGATTATGAAACATACAGGGAACTTTGAAAAAATTCTTGATGCTCAGAAATCACAATAAAAATTATCAAGAATTGAAATATAAATATGGCCTCAATGAACAATAATTGAAATATAAAAAGTAGATAGAAAGAGGAAACACAATGATCGAAGAGAAGAAGAGAGTGCGAACAGAGCGATTATCTATTGGAAATTGAAACTACATGAAATGAAATAGTGAAAAACAGAAATCACGTACCTTTGAAGAAATCGCGAAGAACAAAATTCCAAATGATATTGAAGGCATCGATCATAAGAAGAAATCGCAAAGAACATAAATTGAAGAATAGAAATCGCGAAGGACAGATGCATGTATCGATCTAAACCCTAGCAAATACACACACACACACACACACACAGAGGCGATAGAGATCGAGAGAGTGGGAGGAATTAAGAGATCGAGAGATCAAGAGAGGAAGGGTGATTCATACCTGTGTTTGGGCGAGCGAGAGAAAGAGAGCGATGTCGAGAGTTTGAGCAAGACTGACTAGGGCAAATATAAATAAATGAAAATAAGTGAAATAAAGCACATACATAAACTCGACTTGGAAAATGGTATATTTTTTGCTATGGTTAAATAGACGGTCACAAAAAAATAGACGTAAAAAGTCAATTTTCTAGTAGTGTATTAATATAGAAAAAATTACATGGGTTTGGTAAAGATACATCAAGTCAAACTAAACATCCTAATTAGGTTGGCACTCAAAGCTAGACGAATCATATGCAAACCCCAACCCCCAAACAGATATACACTTGTGTTATTAATACTATAACTTTCTCAACACAAAAAAAAAAAAAAAAAAAAAAAAAAAAAAAAAAAAAAAAAACAAAAATAACAAAGAAACAACAATTAAGCGACCGTGTGAGGTTTTTTTTTTTTTTTTTTTCATCAGTAATTGTGAATTTTTTTTCTTTCTTTCTTGTTTCTTGGGAGATTTCTATTGACATCAATTTGGAGTGTTTGGGCATGGAAATTGGGAATGCTGTTGTGCTTATCGCACAGCAATTACTGCTGCACACTTAAACCATTCCGTAACATAGCAGTTTTGGATGAACAATTCTATTGCCTAAGGCAAAGAGATGAATGGTCCCTTTCTTATCTTTTTTAATTGTCATTTGCCTAAGGGGTTTAGGTCTTGTCCAATTTCATCTAGTTAAATAAAAAAGGAAGATTGACCAATAAGTCTTATATTTTAGACTAATAATCCATATAGTCACACATTTTCTCTTGTGATCCATTTAGTCCTTTTAGATATGCAATGATTCATTTGTCCGCCATATTGGAGTGTCACATTTGTAATACCCGTCACGTTAGAATGTCACATTTGGAAAAAAAAAATACACGAAAAAGTTTTTAATTTTTTTAGAGTGTCACATCTACGTTAGAGTGTCACATGTCATGTTTGGAAAAAGTATATTAAAAGTGAGCTAAAAAAAGTACATTTGGCTATTTGGGAGGAGTTTTTAATTTTTTTTAGAGTGTCACATCATACCCATCACGTTGTCACGTTTTAGAAAAATATACTAAGAAATTTTTATTTTTTTTGAAGTGTCACATCATACCCATTACGTTGTCACATTAGGGGAAAAATATACTAAAGAGTTTTTTTTTTGAAGTAAAAGTTTTGAAGTGTCACATCATACTCGTCACGTTGTTACATTTAGAAAAAGTACATTAAAGAATTTTTTATTTTTTTGGAGTGTCACATTAATACCTGCTATATTGAAATATCACATCATACCTGTCACATTAATAAGAGGGTATAGTTGTCCACCAAAATACTACCAAAATAAAAAAAAATAGAACCACACAGAAAGAAATTCTATACTAATAGAACTTAACAGGTCAATAGAAAAAATTTGGAACTAATTGGAGTACTTGTTTGTTATATGAGATTTATTGGTAAATATCCCAATAAATAAATTATGATCAATATAATATTTTGAAGTAATTATAAAATAAAATAAAAAAAATCGTAAGGTTTAACCCTTATAACAAAATATAATTTTAAATTTTAATTTTGTCAATTTAAACACTCATTTTTTTGTTTTATTTTCAATCTAAATTATTTGTCTATTTTCATTAAATAAAACTAACAAAAAAATAAGATTTTATTTATTAAATCAATAAAAAATGTAATTAGACATTTTATGTACACCAAATGGCTAAAATACCTTCTTTTTTTTTTTGTGGTCATATGGTTTAAATTAAAAATTTTTTTTTTTGATCATATGGTTTAGATTAAAAATAAATCAAAATATTAGAGTTAAAACTGAAAAAAAATTAAAAAATCAGGGTTAATTTTGTTACAAGAGTCAAACTCTATAAATTTGTTTTTTTTGTGTGTGTATGTAATTACCCCTAATATTTTTGCTTCTTATTTCAAATAATCTAATCTTTTTGTTTTTATTTTTTATTTTTGAATCAATCTAATAATGAAAAAAAAATATTAGAAAATAAGGTTGAGATTTTTAAATTTATAAATGGAATTTTGTTAAAAGGAAAATGTTTGGTAGCTCGAAAATAGTTGGCTCGAAATTCAAAACGACGTCGTTTTGGATTCTCTTTACCGGTAAGATATATGAAAATTCTCTTACCGGTAAGATAATTTTCATTAAATATCTCTCTCGTAAAACGAAACTACCATTTCAAAACGACGTTTTAATTTCGAGCTACGTAGCATAATCGTTGTTAAAATTAATAATTTTTATAAATAATTTCATCCATAGTTTCAAAAAGTAAATGTTAACTACTGCCAAATGAAATATTGGTATGTACGTAAAAAATTTATTGAAATATGTAAAAATATATACAATTATATAGAAGTGAGAATATATGAAATTTATATAATACTTTTTATTCAACTAAATAAATTTATATAAAAAATAAAAAAGTTAAATTTATATAACATAAAATATTATATTGATCATAATTTCTTTTTATTTAACTAGATGAAATTGCATGAGAAGTGACAATTAAAAAGAAAAAAGAAAAAGGACCATTCATGTCTTTATCGATTCGCGCCAGACGCCAGAGCCTCCTCTTCAGTTGAGCTCCCTAGCTCTTCAGGTTTCTGTGTGTGTCTGTCTGTTTGTTTGTGTTCCTTTTTTATTCGTTGGCTTCTATGTAATGTTCATTGGGGATTTTAGTTAAAGATCAGTTCAATTTTAGGTTTCTGTATAGAATTCTCTTCATTGTTGTTTTAAAACTTTAATTTGTCTTTTACACTATTCAATGTCTGGTATTTGGTTTAGGGAAAATAGATGAAATTGCAAGAGATTTGCTTTGGCGAAAATGTCAAAGGCGGAGGGGAGAGAAGAGCCGCCATGGGAGGAGGATCTGTGGTTGTTGTTATCTTCGTCGTCTGAAGAGTTGTGGAGATGGAGATGAAACTGATCTGATTGAAGCAGATCTGGATCTGTTGTCATCTAGATCTGATTAGTTCCAAATCAAATATATATTTTTTTATTCTTGATTGTTGTTGTTGTTATGAAATAGATAAATTTTTTTTTTTTTCCTTTTTTTTTTTTTTTTTTTTTTGTGTTGAACAGAGGAGGAGGAAGGAGGAGGGGAGAGAGAGAGAGTTTTTTTTGCGGAAGAATTTTTTTTTTCCTTGTTTATTTTGCAGATCTGTTCAAAAAATTGAACAGATAAATTGAAAATATATATTTTTTTACTTTTTTTTGCAGATCTGTTCAAAAAATTGAACAGATAAATTAAAGATATGTAGTTTTTGGACAACTCTTCAGACGACGAAGACAACAACAACCACAGATCCTCCTCCCATGGCAGCTCTTCAACAGATAAGAACAAAGAGACCTCCAAAATTTGAACAGATATGGAAAAAAAATTCAACAAATAAAGGAAAAAAATTCAATAGATAAATATAAATTTGAATAGATACTCAAAAGAATTTGAATAAATAGAAAATAGTTTGAACACATAGATATAAATTTGAATAGATAGTCAAAAAAAATCAACAGATAAATTAAAAGGTAAAATTGAAAATAAAATGTCTTTCAAAACAAACAAAATGAATCAAACTATTTTACAAATGGTGGGCCTTTCATTAATAAAAAACATCCATTAGACCTAATACTTTATATATTTCTTAGCTTTTTCAACAATATTCTCTTTTTGTAATGACTTTTTGATTAAAATCTTATGTTCCCAAAGGAGTTAAGATATGTTTATTAGGTTTAGATTTTGGTTAGATGTATATGCGTTTCTAATGTTGTTCAGATTATGAATTTGGCTAAGAATTTAAAAAGAAAAACGGAAAGGTGAAGGAAATGTAGAGAAATATAACTTATATTTCATTCATATTTTTGTATCATTTTTGACTTTATAGTCCAAACACAATCTAAATGTATTAAAATAAGAAAATTGCATCCTTGTTCAGCATTGTGTTTAGTATACTTTTCACAGAATGTTTTGCCTACTTTCAATTCGGATGCCGTATAAACAAAGGTTTGCAGTTTGTAATAAACTAACAAATGAGGCCAAAATAGTTTCAAACAAAGTTATTTTGGAGCACTACAAAATGCATTATTGGAGGGAAATTGTCACGACCCAAACCCGGCCCTATGGGTTTAGCACCGTAACCGGCCAGTAATCCGAGATTACCGAAGGCCTGCAGAACAGTAGTATAGGAAAACAGAGTACAGGACCTGGCGGAAGCCAAAACAGTAAATAAATAATGTCCATTGAGCTGTGACAGTCTGTATGCCAAAAAGATTTTTTTCAAGCATTCACACAAAATTTACAGTCACACAGTACAGGGACCAAATTCCTTGATAACAGTACAGTTAGTAGCTGACAGTCTATACAGTAAACCAAACAGTACGGGGACAGACGGGGGAAAAACAAGACACCCCAAAGCCATAGCATGGCAATTCGGAACCTCGCAGTGAGGCACAAAGGCTGGCTTGACAAAACTGGAGTCTAACCCGCGCTCCTAGCTCCGATCTGGTGGCTGAGCACCTATATATATATATAAACAGTGAGCTAAAGCTTGTATTTTTAGTCGCTCTGTTGTATTTGTGAGTTATGAGAGTTTAGATGCAAATCCAACCCGAGTTGTACTTGTGTAGAGGAGTTTATGCTGATATTTTGTATCTTGACTTAAGCATTCCTTATTTGCCACTTCGCTAATTAAGCACGGGGATCGATGTAAATTGTTTCGTACCTTGTACTATGCTCTTTTATCAACAAAATTTTTTTTTGCCAATCAAAAAAAAAAAAAAAGCATGGGAATTGAGCTACTCGGTCAGCTTGAAGGGGTCCTAGGGGACAGTGCTCGAGCGGGTGGCCTACATGTGAGCACCATCTTTAGTCACATCACTCGAGTGGTAAAGTAAGAGGTCTTCGCAATCTTTGGGCCTCTGTTTAGTATAAATTGCGCCGTTTGCTATTTATAAGATTAAACATATCCAGATTCTCAAAAAGGAGTAAAAAATAAAATGTTCTATATATTAGAGGATGTTTATATATGAGTTTCCTTGATGTATAAAAGGTGATCGATTGATCAACAAACTACATAGTGACAAACATCAAGGGATGGTTTTGTTCTTTCATTCTCAAAAAGATAAAGGTGTTCATCAGTGGATTCCAAAAAACTTAGGCCTGAAGCTTTTGTGGATTTCGGAGTGGCTCATTGACATGGATTCGACATCGGCGTTGTGGATTTAACATTGAGCAAAATAATTCTGAGGTGAAGACGGTGGTAGAAGAGGCACATCGGGTTCGATTCAATTTGGGCGTAGATTTGCCAGGTAATTGAGGGTTTATGAAGCACAAATATGAGATACAACGATACAAAGATACGGATATGGTGATATGCCAAAATTTGAAAAAGTAGGATACAGTACAGCGGGAATATGTTCGTAAAAAAAACAATAAATTATTTTTTTATAATTTTAATAATGTAATATGCATGGAAATAAAACCTAAAGCAAATTAATAAATAAAGAGAAAGATTCCTATTAAGTTAAGAGTTTTCAAATATTCATAAAACATCCAAAATTAAAAGTAAAAGCAAATGCAAATGCAAATGCGAATTAAATATCTTCCTTACATGTCAACATCAAAAAAATAATGAGAGCAGAGAGAAAAACCATGAGAGAGTAAGAGAGACAGTGGTGGAAGAGGCTCATCGTCATAGATTTGACATCGGTGTTGTGGATCTAACATTGGGCAAAACAATTCTAAGGTGAAGACGGTGGTGGAAGAGGCACATCGGGTTCAATTCAATTCAGGCGTAGATTTGCTAAGTAATTGAGGATCTAGGAGGCACAAATATGAGATACGGCGATACAAAGATACAGATATGGTGACATGCCAAAATTTGAAAAAGTAGGATACAGCACAGCGGGAATATGTTCGTAAAAAAAAATAATAAATTATTTTTTTATAATTTTAATAATGTAATATGCATGAAAATAAAACCTAAAACAAATTAATAAATAAAGAGAAAGATTCCTATTAAGCTAAGAGTTTTCAAATATTTATAAAACATCCAAAATTAAAAGTAAAAGCAAATGCAAATGAAATATCATCTTTACATGTCAACATCAAAAAAATAATGAGAGCAGAGACAAGAACCTTGAGAGAGTAAGAGAGACAGTGAGGTTTTGATCCCCATTATTAGCTTTTAGTGATCGCTATACTATGAAGGTTGTTCTACCGACCGGCCCAGATACCCTGTGTGCTGTGTCTGGATTAGCGGATTTCATATGCCATTACCGTATTAGTTTTATTATCTTTGTCTCATCGCACAACTGTGTAAATGGATATACAAGTTAGACAAACAACAAGTGGAATCGAACCGAAGGAGCTAGTCCTGGTATTCCTCTTTCTTACAATACATTACTAGAGTAATCAAGTAGATGAGCTGAACCCACATGGTTTGCTCGGGGAGAAGAGTGAGAAAGATAATAAAAATAAATCAATTTGATAAATTATATTACTTTAACTCTCACTATATTCCTCTTATCAAAAAACTAAACAAAATATTAGAAGTAATATGTGATTTTGAGTATTCGATACTTCTAAGAAGTATCCAATATGTATCCACGAGTATCTAAGAAATATCGGTATCCGATAAGTATCTGATACGGATACGTCTTCATTTTTGAAGTATCCGTACTTCATAGTTGAGGTTCTCGTGTGTAATTCTTTTTTGTCTTATTAGTGGATTCACTGCTGGAAAACAGACTTTTAGTGGCGTTTAAAAAACGCCGCTATAAGTTCCAAAAACGCCGCAAATTCCTTTTGCGACGCTTAGCACCAAACGCCGAGGACGCGGCCGTCGCTATAGCTTTGTGGCGTTTTAAAAACGTCGTAATATTAGTATAAGCGGCGTTTTTACCAAATGTCTTACTACACGCTGACGTCACTGACAATATTTAGCGACGTTTTAGAAAAAATGCCGTCATATCTTTTTTTAAAAATACAACCGTTAGGCAGTAGGGTTTAAGAGGCGTTTGTAGAAACGCCGTCATATACCCTTTTTTTTTTTGAAATTGTGCTAATTTTTATTTGATTGAACTAAAAAAATACCTGTAATAAAGCATTAATTCACTTTCTCATTCAATTAATATCCAATCACCATTACCCACAAAATTAACATATCCAAAATTCAAAAATCATGTCTTAACATTAACCACAAACTAACATATATCCAAAAATCATGTCTCAACATTAACCACAAACTAACATATATCCAAAAATCATGTCTTAACATTAAATTTGTAGTCTTCATTGGTTTACATGCCTGCATCAGAACATAAACTGCAATCAGATTCACTAAAATAAACACAAATTAAAAAATTTGTACCCAATACTTATAAACAGTACTTGAAGAAGCACTAACAATAAGATTTTATCACAAACCAAGAAGCACTAATAAGAAGATTTTTATGCATAAGTGATCACATAAATAGGGGAGAAAATTTAACAGATGGAATTTAGCTGGAATTATAATTACTTTTGAGAGAAATCAGAAGAATGAAGACCAAGAGTTATCAAGAGTTACCCGATGTTAAGACATCTCAAATCTGCATACATACCCATAAAAAAAATCAAAAGAGCCCTTAAATTGTTCCGGAAGATTGAGAAGAGAGAAGTCTGCAAAAGGAAATCTCCCTTGGTAGGCAATGTTATGGATGCAGAAAACAACCTGCCATCATTTGTCAGTACTAGTGTTAAATCCCAACAAATAGTCCTTGTCGTTTGGCTAAAATTCTTCTGTTTTAATTTTATTCTTTGCCTGAAATTCTTAACAACGTAATTGAGCAATCTTACTCTGGCATTCTTGTAGATCCCCATAGGTTTGTACTTGGTCTTCAGATAACATGGAAGAAGAGCAGTGTGCCAATCATTGGCAATGAAGACAACATCCTCCTCTGCATTTGTACGAGACAGATATGTTACACCATTTATAATAGAATGCAAAATAAATAGATACCCGATTTTACAGGCCCTCCTTTATTACTCGCAGGCTGAGAAAACATATAAACCCAACAATAGAACAAAAAGATGAAAAAAAAGTTATCTAACACAATATGCATAAAACAGGACATGCTAAGAAAAAATTATAAGAAAATACTCACAACAGCCTGAACAGGTTTCTTCCCACTAAGCATGCTTACTGCCGATTTTTTGACAAATGATCCTTCAGAAACCTGCAAAAAGATTAACGTGTACATCATATTGAAGCTAGATAAACATGTCGAAATGACTCCTTGGAGGCCTAAATTCATAAGATTTAAATTTCACATGCATTTATTCAAATATTAAATTGATTACTATGCCATGCTTCATTTTACCATCATGAAAATAGAATTGATGATACTACATGACGAAGATTTATAATCCATGAGATGAATCAAAAACCAAGGCATAGATCAAGGAAATGACACGAAGCACAAACTTTAAGGGTATAGCAACTGAATATTGAGCCTAAGGCTTGCAACACCATGAGACATAAAATTTGCATTAAGCTTTGATTTTGTCTTCTCTCATATATAGCACTAATAGCACATTATATTTCTTTTCCCAAAAAAGAGACAAGGAAGGGACCTTCATTTTGTCCATCAGTTAGTTTGATTTTCCCTTGCCAAAGTCAAATCTGTGACCTGGAAAACAGCAAAGCAAGAAAACAATTATTTCTGCCAGTATACCAAAACTACATTAAAGCATGGCTTGCAAATTAATACAGGTTGTAGACAACTCACCATTCCTTCCATCTTTGATGTGAACTGACCACCACACTGCTGCTTCAGCTTTGTCAGGATACTTCTCTCATGCTTCATCTTTCTTATCTGCCTGTACCAGGACACTTCTTAGCATTAGAACCAGAAATAAAATTAGAAAAGATTATCACTAAGACATATACAAGAGTAGATATGTTCTTTCCACCCAGAAAAGAGGAAATAAAATAAAAAAAGGAAAAGAAAGAAAAATTTTAAGTAAACAACCTTGGTCAATGAGTATCCCATGCATCTTTGTACTGGTCGTAACGTGGGGAAACTGTCATAACACGATGCCCCTTGCCCTAGATGATGATTTGGCATAGAAATCAGATCAGTTAAAAATTCATCATCCTAAATGTTTTACCAATTTACCACAAAACTAACCAAGAAGATGATTCAACTATAGTAGCAAATAAACAAGTATAGTAAATAAAAAAAATAGAGCTGCTTGTAAACTGGGTTTCCTATAAAATTACAAATATTGGCCCCACCAATATTGTGCCAATTTTGCTCCCTCAACTGTGAATGTTAAGATAAATGCAGTCATACTAAGTTGACCTGCTTGTTATGTAATTAAATAATAGGTTTAGAAGCTCAAATGCAATGTATAGCATATATGATGCATCCAAACATGAGACATAGAGATAAGAGTGCTAAGCCATCATTATAGGCCCAGAACGATCAGTATCAAGCAGTCTGAAAAGGTAATAATTCAGATGGAAATTGAAATCAATAATGTTATTATCATGTCAAGCATATACATGAGAACTCGAGTTTTAGGCCCTTGGAGCATTTGGATCCATTCTCATCCTTAAATGCACACATTAGATGGGTCCCTAGATCAACAAATAAGACAAAAAATGTTGGCTAAAAAAGGGAACATCTTAGTCACTTCCTATGACAGGTCATTTTTAACCTCCATAAAATTTCAATTGGATCTGAAAAGAGTGTGGGCTTTGTTTTGCATTTGGTCATATAGATTTGTTAGTCCTATGCTTCGGTTTTGATGACGTCTTTGGATGCTTTGGGTGGTTGTGTTTCATTGTGATATATGCTTGACATCCCTAACACAAAATTAGTACCTTGAATTTGATAAACTTATGCCTACTCTCTAATAATTATCCCATTATCTTGCTTTAATACTTGGTATATTTGTCAATCACCATTCCTGCAAATTTATCAATCCAGTATGGTCAAAGAAGGAAAGGTCCAGCATGTTTACAACTAATTTCATCTGAGCATAATTAATTAGAAAGGAAATGTTATTTTTCCAGCATATATACTAACTAGAAATGTTCCCTCTCCTCCAACAACAGGAAACTATAAGCTCTGTAAAAACAGATTCTCTCACAGATAAAACTAATCATAACAACAACATAGCAGCAGCATTAACTACACTCCTAGAATTTACATTGAAGTGTCTACAAACATGCCAAAGGCCAAACAAAAAATAAAGAAAGACATGCCAAACACACCAGATCCTAGTGCAAGTGTTCTGCAACCACTCATGCGGAACCATAGAATGTTGCTTCGCCATTGCAAACCATTCTAATGATTATTTTGATATAGATTCTTGAATATCACCCAAATTTCTATCAAAATGAAAATGTTGTGTCTATCTCTACCCAGTCCACCAAGCAAGTTTGCACGCAACCCATTAACCAGCATGAATTGGCTATGCAGATAAATAAATGTTTTAGGGTGCTCCTATAAGAAAATGCCATGCAACTTTTAAGACGAGGCCCTAAGATCTTTCAGAAAACTAATAATACTGTAAGCAAACAGTAGGCAACAATGAAGGGTACAATAAAAACCATATATCAAGGCAAGTTAAGTACTCTGATCCATGCATCCAAAGGTAAAGAATTAGTCTGATTGTGTCACAAGCTCCTCCAATAGTTTCATTTATAATGATATCTCTTGCAAGGTGTACCACCCACATAAGCCACTAAACATGAACTTGAATTGATTTCTTCAATTAAAATGGGCTAAAAAAATATTTGAAACTCACTGGAGTGAGCTTGTTAAAAAGTGGCGCAATTAAAACGTCATAGACAGTCATCATCACAAGAGATAGTACAAGCTATCAAATAGCTAAAATAAAATTATCAATGATTTACCTCAACGTCTTCAGGTTCAGCTGGTTTGGATGTTTTTAACTGTCCAATAGCATCTCCTTTCTTATTGACACCCGATTTTACAGCCCCTCCTTTATTACTAGCAGGCTGAGAAAACATATAAACCCAACAATAGAACACAAAGATGCAAAAAAATGTTATCTAACACAATATGCATAAAACAGGACATGCTAAGAAAAAAACTATAAGAAAATACTCACAACAGCCTGACAATCAATTAAGATTGCTGTAACTGCAGTTGAACCCCTTTTACCCAACTCTAATGATTTGTCCAAAATAGAAGTATCAGTTGTGATCCAATAGAACAGAAGGACTCCACTGAAGTAAAGCTAATACCAAATTAAATTCATAGATTTTTTTTTTTTAATTTTTATACTTCATTTTCAACATCCAACATAGGGGAAATGAAAAGAAAATCACACAAAATTGAAAAAATTGTAAAACTAACCAGTGGATTGATGTTAATGGTGGCTTGCGATTAGCTTGCTGAAGCTGAGGCAGATGCAGAGGCAAGAGAGAGCATCATCGAAGCCATCTGAATCAGAAAAGACGATGAAACGATGAGATCAATTTGAAACACTTAAAATTAGTAAAAAAAAAATCAAACAGTGATATTCGAGAGAAGTAGAACTTTGTTGAGTCTAAATTCGAATCGGTAATCGATGTAAAAAAACAAGAGTAAGAACACAAAAACAAACCTCAGAAAAGTAATGAAGTCGTGTTTAGATCTAGAAACAAAACAACCAAAAATAGAAAACCAACCTTGCCTTTCAAATAAAATTGATAATTCAAACAAAAACGAGAACAAATCACTATTTTCTTCGTAGATCTATAGATACACATACTTATGAGGCAGAGAGAGTGAGAGATGCACCACATCTACCAAAAAAATTGAAGGAAATGATAGATCTGTTGTGAACGAAGCTTCAGATCTCAAATCGGCCAAAAAAAAAAAAAATATGAAGAAGATGAAGAATCAAACCCATAGACTTCATGATCTGTGTGTGTGTGTGTGTCTGTGAAAAATGATAGATCTACCTGATTGAAGCTTAACATATCATATGTTCGATAGATCTACCGTTAACGAGTAATGATAAATCGATTTTCATGATCCATTTTCTCACTGAGATGAAATCACTGACATGAAATCGCTCTGAATCTCTGAGATGAAATCATTGAGATGAATCTCTCAATCGCTCTGATAAGGGTTTAGAGAGGATGGAGAGAGAGAGAGAGAGAGATAGATATTTAGAGAGAGAAAGAGAGACAGTGAAGCTCAGATTCAAAATTAGGGTTGGATAAGAATGGGAGACATAGCGCGTGAGGCACAATGCATTTGGAGGCGCTTTTAAATGCCTCTTATTACAAAATGGTGTCGTTTTATTAAATAAATATGCGACATTTTGTAAAACGTCGTTAAATATAAAAAAATAGTGACGTTTAAAAATGCGTCATTAAAAAAATGCCGTCTAAACTCTTTTTTCCTGTAGTGATTGTTTTGTTGCTTTGACCTGTAATTTTTTTTTTAATCACAATTAAGGAGTTCAATTATGATTTTTTTCATATTAAGTCGTTGTGTCAATTTGTTATTAATTGTTTGATTAGAATTGTTATGCATTGTTTAAAATTGAATTATAATAACAAATCACAATCTCGGAAGTTTTAGAATTTTCAAATTTAAAAAAGTAGACAACAAATATAATTTTTAGAATAGATAATTCAATATTTTTTACTACAAAGGCAATCTAATAAGTGGTTACTGATATGTTGCCATCTTAATTTTTTGTATGAATATTTTATTAACGTGTCTGAAAGAGTAAATAATTTGGAATACACTCTGTTTTGGCTCTATATCGTAAAAAACCTTCTCCCTAGACATATATTGAAGGACAGTCACAAATCACAAAAGGTAGAAGTGCTGATTGAATTACTTTATTGAGAATTTGATGATTTAAAACAAATATAGAGCATAAGACCATCTCTACCAGTTTACTTAAATTTTATTTTAAACTATTATTAAAAAATTTATTCCTTATTTTAGGAAACACTTTTTAATTTATCTTCTCCAACAAACTCTATATTCTTTCTCTATTTTATTAAAATAATCTTTTTAATTATTTTTAAATTTAATATTTTTTAATAATAAAATAATTAAACAATATAAAAGAAAGTAAAAAATGAGGCTCAAAGGCAGCACAGACTCAAAGGCAAGGGTCGGATGTTCGGGTGGACAGCCGGTTAGGTCATTTTTGAGTATTTTTTTTCTTTAGTTAGAGGACACTCATGGATATCCGGGGGATGTCCGAGGGGACGTTCGGGGGGACATTCAGGAGACTTCTCCTTCACACCTAAAACGAAATAAAATAAAAATTTATCAGATATAAGGGAGCTATAGTGACTCCATATTTGTAGGGAGTCACTATGGCAATTCTAAATTTGAGGAATGATATAAGGGATCTATTGGGAAAGAATTTGTGAAGAATTAACCCCTTATAATAGCAAAAAGTTATTATAAGGGGAACTGATAGATGCTCTAATAAGAGTAAAGGTGGACTGATAATAAATCTCTCAAAAAAATGGAAAAAGCAAAGAAAAAGAAAAAGATTAAGAAAAAGAAAAGGAAAATACAATAAGAGAACCAATAAACTTTATCCATGGTAAAGAAAATGAGAATCATATTTGGGTGTTCCTCAAGTTGTTTAAGCACACAGCTTGATTATCACTACTCATCTTTTTATAAAGGATACAATTATATGGGATCTGATTACTCAAACTTTAATAAAGAGAAGAAGTAAAATGACAAGAAAGAAATACGTATCAAACTACAATTTCATACACACATTTGCATTATTCATTGCACGTTCATGTAAACCTTGCTATCCGACAAATTGAAGATTTTGATTTTTGAGACAGATGGCACAACAGCTCCAATTACAAGTGATAAAGTGACGTAGCCAGCACAGCAAGCAATCCGTGACCACCCACCTTAGTAGTTTCCGTCTTTTATGGCTTTAGTTGCCATTATTTTATTATTTTGGCAATTGCTTTAGTATTTGCCTTACATTTGATTAATTAGTTGCCTTATTTTATTTCCAAAACTGTCTGTGGCTTCGTTGAGTTAGGCCTCTGTCTTTATATTTTATTAGTTGCCTTGTTTT